GTGTGTGTGCGCGCGCGCGTGCTATAGTAGGCCTGTGTTTGAATGCCAGAGCATCTATGAGTGTATGTTTATGTGTGTTTGCACAAGACATCTGCTATGTCAATAAGCCGGCGGGGTTTTCTTTGTGGGTGTGTCGACTGCTGCAAGTGTCAAAGTAAGAGTCCAGAGTTTACATCATCCACTGTGGTCAGTTCGCCTTGACTGCGTCGCTCTGTTAACCCCTCTGCTGCAACATGTGAGCGTTTAACAACTGTTCATTTATGCACAGATTGTTTATTAGATGTAGAAATAAGTGGACAAAACCTGCCACAAGTGTAGATTTTAGAGGTCCAGTGTGTAACATTTAGGAGGATCTATTGTTAGAAAAGTAATATTGGAATATAAAAGGATGTTTTCATTAGTGTATAATCCCCTGAAAATAAGAATCAATGTGTTTTCATTACCTTACAATGAGCTGTTTTTGTCTACAGTCACCTTCCACGCAGTCCGCCATTGACAAACCAAACGCTGGCTTTCTTGCACATTTTGCAGCCACTGTAGTTTTCTCTTGAACACCTCACAGCCCGGTCTCATTCCCAGGTTGTCCAATACAGACGCGAGCGGTGTTCAGTTAGGTGCAATCTGGAACTTAACCGCTACATGTCATTAAATCCTCCACACTGTTAACCCTCAGTAAGAAGAAAACCAAAATGATGCTGAGTTTTTGATGGAAATACTTGTGTTAAAGGACCACTGTGTGTATGATTTAGTGCCATCTACCGCTCCGCTTCCAAGAACTGGGCTACTGTAGAAACATGGCAGTTCAACAAAGTTGACCTCTGTAGATTAAAACAGCTCATTCTAACAAAACCATTTTTATTATTTTCAGGTGATTAAACAAACCTATAAACTAATGAGTTACGCACAATTAATGACTGAAGTCTAATATAATCTATAATAATTTAATACTTGTAAACCTAATAAATCGGAGAAATATCCCTGAACAAACTTTAACATCTCCTAATCATCCTGTAATCTGTATATTTGATATATACTTGTATAATAATTGCAGTTCCTTACTATCTGATTTCTATCATTTCCCTCAAATTGCAGCTGTTTTTGTACCATTTGGATGGTTTCCACCAACGAAAAGTTAGGCTGTCAGAGAGTTTATAAATCAGCCTTCTTCTCCTCGAGGTGACACTGCCAGAATTCAGTGAGCTCGGATGACTGATGACTGACAAAAACAAATATGTATAGGGGCTACTTTTATGACGGCTGGGTGGGTTCTGGGCTCTGATCGGACCACTTTTTCGAGTACAATCAGGCAAAACCGTTTCCATTTGTACTTGTGTGTTTAGTGCTGATTAGCAAATGTTAAAGTAAGATTATGAGCACAGTAAACAGCATTGTTATTGTGCCCGGTTCGCATTTAGCATAGCCACGAGCATATCCGTAGACTCTTCCAGAAGTACAGAAGAGTGTTTGAGGATTCTGGAAATACCTTTAAAACTGTGGTACATGTTGTGGTGTTTTGAAGATTAAACATTTCTGTGACTTGAGTGTAATAAACATATATTTATTTATCTTTAATTAGTAAAACTAAGTCATTAAAACCCTAAATCATTAATGTAAGAACAGACTGAAGAGCTTAAGCAAACTTTTTAGGGCTTCAGTTCTTTTACCACTTAAACTGATTTATTCCAGCGGAGGTTTGAGGGAACTGTGAGCTTTAAGGTTTGGGTTTCTTTCTGTGTTTGTTTGGCTGCTGCTGTTAAAAACCTCTGCAGACTTTTGGAGCATCCTGCCACCGACAGCTGAAATGTTTGTGTTGTCTGTTATTTTGGACTCACACACACACTCACACACACATACACACACACACTGTACATTTGTTAAGCTCTCCGGCAGCAGATTTCTGTGTGTTTGGCAGGGAAACGAACAACGTGCCAAACTGTGATTTATGGTTGTGCATATTTGTCTTCATGCAACACTATCCTTCCTTCCTTCCTTCCTCCCTTCCTCCCTCCCTCCCTCCTCCAGTCGACATACGAGAGATTCGGGAGCTGCGGTTGGGGAAGGGCTCCCGTGATTTCGAGCGCTACCCTGAGGAGGCCCGGAAGCTGGACTCCACCCACTGCTTCATCGTGCTCTACGGGCTGGAGTTTCGCCTCAGGACGCTCAGTGTGGCTGGTCAGTGTGTATATACTCTGTGTGTGTGTGTCTGTCTAACAGTTAGTGGGGTTTTTTTTGGGAGATTTTCTCAACAACTCAACTCTGTAAAAGGTCACACACATTCCTATTTTATTTGGTCTAGTTCTGGATGACCAAAACAATGAGAAAAAAGATATTTGCAGTTTCAGGGTACATGACCATATTTAAGTTTTCTATTATTTTCTAGTTATTCTTAGAATAGAATAGAACAGTTTTTATTATTATGCAAACTGCAACACTATAAACTGACATAAAATATAAGTATTTCAGTATTCAAGGAGTTATTTGAACACATTGCACAAGAAACAAATGACTTACAGCAGTTCACAGGGAAAATTAAAAAACGTGCTGATTTTAAATCAACCTTTTTTTACTTTCGTCTCACTTTCTCAGAACATATTTCCACTAAGAAAAGGGTTTTTTATGGGATTACAGCCATTTCTGATATCTGTAATTAATTTTTCTGACAACTTTTGACTTTTACCCTGCTACAGTTTTACACACACATTTGTGCTTTCTACTCTTTACATTTTACTTTCACGATTACTAATTTTAATTTTTTTGCATCATTGCACGCCTTCCCAACATCTAGACCGGTGCATATCACGCACAACAGACGTTACAACAGACGTTACAGAGTTTATTTCAGAGCCTCTATTTTTTAGAACCTGTTTACTTTTGTCACCTCTGATTGTCGCATCTCTCAAATGATATGTTTTTCTTTGTAGAAAGTATTTTTTATTGACTCTCACCTAAAAAGATGCTTTTTAAATGTTTATTGAAAGAGCAAATTTGATTTATTTCACCCTGGGTCTAATGTCTCAGTAATTATTAACATTGTAGTATTTGAACACAGTAACATCACTGTTCTGGGTCAAGAAAAACAAGCAGTCATAAAATCAATTAGACCCACATTGTCCATCCACAGTTTGCAGACTGTGTGGTTTCAATTTAACCTACAGTGTTTTCCTGTGAAATGAGGGATTTATACTGTTATTTCAGGAGCATTGTTGGTTGGTTTTACCTCCAAATTGTGTTTTATGATCTGGATAAACTGTTTCATTTCCAACTTTTCTGATGGAATTTGATGTTTCTGTGTTTCCAGATCTCATTTATTACTTTAATGAGTTCAGTGAAATCATAAAACAACAAAAATAAGACCTAATATCCAAAAAAGGCATTAATTTTAGCTGATTGTTCCTTTAAACTTCTGAAACCAGTGTCTTGTGTTTCTTTGTGTGTTTGCAGCCTTCAGTGAGGAGGAGGTCAACATGTGGATCACTGGTCTCAACTGGCTGATGACTGACACTCAGAGAGCGCCCGCACCGCAGCAGATAGACAGGTATGTATGGATGAGAGAGAGAGTGGGTAAGACTTTATAATGAGGGTACGAATCGTATAGTTAATTAATCCTCTACTAATGCCTGACTCATGATGTATCATGAATTCCTGTTGCTTACCAGTATAATTAGTTCACACTTAATGGATCATCGGTTAAGGACTGAATACATAAAAAGACATGAAGTTCATATTTCTGTGAGAATAGACCAACTGGTATTTGTGAAACAAAAACATATGTTTTTAAGTCATAGTGACGTGTTGGTGGTGAGAAGTGTTGGGTAGTAGTAAATATATTACTTTCCCCAGTAACTAGTAGTGAAACTAATTACTGATACATTTCAGTACAAATACCACGTCAAAAATAATTAGTTTCAACCTTACTTTTGTTGTCACCTCCGACTGATTTGAACAATCCAATCACATCCTTTCAGGATTCAGTTTGTGGAGGAAACTAGTTTTCACATTATTCAGTATATTCACATTACTTTGATTTTAACAAACAAAACTGGATTTTTATCATCGTATGTCGTAATTTTGGGGAGAAAGGACACAATTACCAATTTGTGGGGAGTAGCTGACAAGTAATATAACTAGTAGTGTAACTAATTACTGTTGGTAGGGAGTAATAAGTAAATTAATAAAGAATAATGTAATAAATTATAAATTTGAGTAACTAGACAACTAACTAACACTGGTGGTGAGCAACAGAAAATCGTGATTCATCCTGCTTTAATTAATGCACTGAATCATCATGAGTCATGTATTAATAAAGCATTCTAAATCAATATTATAGTGCTATCTGAAACTTGACTTCCTTAAAGTCTCCAGTAGATCAACTTATGGAGACTTTGTCAGCACTGAAAACACTTGACATGGAGCTCTCATTTTATTATGTCAGAAAGGTGGTGATTAGTTTTATCATTAACATGGATCACTGGAATATTTGTGTTTGTAAAGCCGATCGCTGCGTCCTTGGTGTGAGTGATAAAGTGATATCTGCTCACATCAAAAGACGCAGCGACCTGCACGGGAAAGGGAGGTGCTGGTTGGAGGACAGGACAAATATTTGTTTTGGGATGAAAATATTTACTCCAGATGAATGTGCGGAGGACGCTGTGGCTCCTGCAGTGCGAGCCGGAGGACAGAGAGAGGCTGTGAGGATGTGCAGGGGAGTTTTGTTCATGTGAGCCGTATATGTTTGGAAAATGGTCGGAGGAAATGAAATTGCTAATTTTGTCTGTTTATGACAGTTGTGTAAACTGTTTGGGGAGTAGATTCAGAGTGTGTGTTTGACATGGACAGTTCAAACTCTCTCTCTACCTACAACTTGTTGCTTAAAGTGCCAAGTGTATGGAAATATCAACTGTAATCATACTACAGATGTTGTGCCTCGTACATTTTGTGGATATATTTATGGAAGCTTCAAGCCTGTAGGTTGAACATCATAATTATATCTCTGACTGTTTATCCCACTGTCAAACCTCTCTGCCCACAGAGGAAGTAAACTAACTGGTGCTACCTTTACTCATTATTTTCACAACAGATTTCCTTTAAGAAAAAGGGTTTTTATGTGATTATAACCGTAGTTTCGTCTACATTTTCAAAATAAACTCATAACTTTATTTTTAATGCATTTGAGGGGAGTTATCGATTTTTATATTATATATTTTTTGCATCATTGCTCGCCTTCCTAACCTCAAGACTGTAGGAAAAATAAAAAAAGCCTATATCTCAGCATTTGGTTCTGTAAAGAAGAATGTAAATGTAGTAAATTGTGGCCAGGTTTCAGGTACAATAAAACACTGCATTTGTCCAAAAAGTCTGTATGATTGTTAAAAATGATTAAAAAATTACATTATACAGACAGGAAATTGTATAAAACGTCACCTAAACAGGAAATAATCTGCTCAAAATTCATCCAAATCACTTGTTTTACAGAAATTTGGCCACCGTAGTTTCTCCCTGGTGCTTGGAAGGGGAGGTTGAAGCGAGACTTTTATTCTTGTAACAAATGTTTTCTTCCTGCATCCCTTCCTCACTAGGTGGCTGAGGAAACAGTTTGAAGTCATGGACAGGAGCCACGAGGGCAGGTGGGTGACTCACCACAAACACGTCAACACCCAATCGTAGCTTTTACAGCGGCCTGGGATGGATGCTTATCAGCCGGTCTGTCGCAGCAGGTGGAACGTGGAGGTGAAACCAGACCCAGATGTCATCAAAGAGAGCGGTGCACCCCCACCGTCGGGGATCTGCCCTGACCTTTAACCTCCACACGCATCCACTACCCGAGAGTCCACGTTATCGCTCACACATTCTCTCCGTCGTATTCTCTCTCGCTCTCATTAATGCGTCCAGTGCTTGTGTTTGGGTGGAAGCCGCTCCAGGACAAACAGCCTGCCACCGCCTGATAAGCTGCGGGAAGTGATGCGTTGGGCTGGGAGAGGGCAACTTCCTGTCTCCTGTGAAAATAGTAACAGTAACAGTAACAGTAGCTAGACAGAGGGAAGTGGGTGGAGAGAGGAATCAGACCTGGCAGTGACGGTGGTCATTGACCTCAAAAGATCCGCCCTGCCTCGGAGCACTGACCTGGATTTTCTCTTTCTCTACCTGCTCCTCTGGCTTCCTTCCTCGCTCCGATACCGACGGCTGATGGTTGCATGTGTTTTGTTAATCAGTGAAAGTGATAATCCATGTGCTGTTTGTCCTAGAAAAAAACAGGTGTAGAGGTAAAGATATTAGCAAATCCACAGAAGCAACAAACTTCTGTGCAAACACACACTTTTATTGATGACGATAACGATTTATAGCTGTTATATTACCTATTGTTCATCAGCAGATAGTTTCCTCACTTGTCATTAGATTATAGATGTTCGCATTTCCATTTTTTTGGAGCATTTCCAGTCATGCTTAAAGCTGCAGTGAGTCACACAGTGTCAAACTTCTTGGAATTTAAGCCCATGTTGTTTAGAAAGACGTTTCAGCATATTGCTTCAGACATCACAACTATCACAGAAATGAAATGAAGCCACGGTTTGGGACATTTCTTTCTTTCCGCCATGACTCCTGGTTGTTGCAAGTTTCCAGCTGTGTATATGCGTGACTTTTGTCACGTATTCTCAATGCCGGCAATATAATTAATAAGGGCGTAGAATTCTGATGGGTGAAACGATTCCCATCCCTACCTCCAGCGCTCCAGGTCCCAGGATAGAGCACAGCAGGTTCCAGAGGCAGCTGCGGAGCGGGATGAGAGGATGGTCCAGGAAAGAAGCAGTAGAGATTTCTCCAGGAGCAGTGCAGCGTATTATTGGACTGTCACACCAACCTCTAATAGCACGGAAAAGGAAATGCTTCGTGCCAGTGAAAGCCACACGGCTAGTAGCCAACATTACACACCCACCAGCTACCCTGCTAAAGTTACTCCTCGCTGTTTGTCATCATGCCTCTTTTGCCACTTGCAAGTGCAATCATTGACACAGTGTTAAAGGCTACTTATCTGTCAGATATTACACATACAGGCTAACATGGACGAGAACGTGCTCAGAAAACTATGGAAATTTGAATATTTCCAACTCCATGTGCTGTTGAAGATTGTGGGATATGAAAAAGTAGTTTGGTGTGCTGGTATGATTATTAAAATGAATGAACAATCCTTCTTTTAGCAATGAAACTATATATTTGTGAGGCATTTTACGTCTTCAGGTGGAACTGTAGGGAAGTCAGAAATTATTGAAATAGACTAACACAGACTACTATACAATAACTAAAGAAGAGAACAATGCCAGCCTTGTATAGTAAAAGTGTATATATATGTACGCAGCCTTTACCTCTATGTCCTCAAGGACACGTCAGCTTCACGCCATTCCTTCTGAGCCTAAACAATGAAAACTTTACATACAGGAATCCTCCCTCTCAGCCTGGAAATGTCACTCGCTCTTTAAACCAAACAGCGCCATCTCCTGGTGAAAGCTCACTTTATATCTCTGGGTCTTTTATGAGAGGATCTCTAACTATTGTGTGTTTTTTAGGATTATCCAGTAAACCTCAGTGTGTAGAGATGGACTGAGATTTTATGACTCTAATGTACACTTCCTCTCTTGTGTCTTTGTCAGCATCACAGTGAAGGATGTGAAAGCTCTGCTGCCTCAGGTCAACTACAGAGTCCCCAACATGCGCTTTCTCAAAGACAAACTACAGGTCAGAGCAGAATATAAAGTTCATATGTCTGTTCAGTTTACTTTAATGTCTCTTTGAATGTCCCCTCCTGAGTGTTCTGACTGTTTTAAAGCTGTAATATGTAACATTTCTGTAGATAATCTGACTTTGGGGTGCTGGATTTTCCTCCAGGATGCAAAATGTTGGAGAGGAGGAGAAGCTACTTCATAGTGTCATCAAACCATGTTCTTTTGTTCCTGTTTTGATGTGAGAGAGCGGCAGCAGTTACATATTGTGTGTTTAACTCACATCCTCCCTGCTCACACAGGAGGTGGAGGCCAGGAGCGATCTGTCATACCCCAACTTCGCACAGCTCTACAGAACGCTGATGTTCGACACACAGAAGAGTGTGAGTGTCAGTTTTGGGTTTGCACACAAACACACACACTCAGAGTCAGCACAGTCGTGGATGAAGTACTCAAATCCTCACATCCATAAAAGTAGTTATATTACAATGGAAGAATACAAGTAAGTTAAGCTTTCAGATTTTCCAGGTATTTAATGAAGGAATAAAGGTATATATGTTAGAATTATTGCAAGTTTTAGTTCCTTAATTACAAATCACATACACTTTACATTTGCTTACCATTTCCAAACTCAACAATTTATTTCCATTTGCCATTAAAATCAAGTGACAGACTAGATATTTGTTAGTCTTCTGGTTGAACTATCAAGGCTGCATTCATTTCTGTCAAAGTTGCATTTTCTCTACAGAATAAAGCAATTAAACTGCGTTAAGAAGCTGCGATAATGAAGCGTAGACTTGATGTTCACTGCTGTTTCAAGAGTCTGCTAATATTATTATTATCTCAGCATTTTGTTCCTTTCTGGGAAGAAATGAAAATGTTATGCGGTTAGATTATTATTTAAAATCTAAACTTTGAAGACTTGAACACACACTATATTCACAGAGCCTTCACTCTCATAAACAGCCTCATCCTGCATTAGAGAAGTTTAAACAACCAAAGAGCTGATAGAACAATGAGAAAAAAACACTGAATTTGTCAAAAAAGAAGCCTAGTAATTGTATATGATTGGTAGAATTTAAAATACATAATACAAAGAATTGTATGAAAAAATCCTGAAAGTATCAGGAAATCTTATGTTGTTTTACACACACTTCCTGCATTTATTATGTTAACTATTTGTTAACTCTAACTTTAAAAATCGTTTTCAGAAATGTCTTTAAAGAGAAAAGATTTCTACAACACAACCCGTCACATCAGCCATCAGATATCATTTCACTCTGAAATGTAGCTGAGGAAGTCTCCCACTGTAGAACAGTAACATCAAGTGAATTTTGGGTGGAATAATGGATAATGTATTTGAGTACTTCTGCACTCGTACCACGCTCACTTTGTCCTTTACTGTTTATGCTCCACCTGGCTCCCTCCCACCTCTGTCACCTGGTTCCTCCCCTTCTGTTCCCAGATTATTGAGCAGCTGGAGCTCTCCTTCCCTCTGCGGTGAGTCCCTGCACCTTCACCTTAACCTCCTCCTCTCCCTCAGTGTCCACTCCCTTGTCCTCACGTCCCTTCCTTCTGCCTGTCCAGTTTCTCTTTAAAAACACTCTTATCAGTGTTCCAAGGTTTTCAGGAAAGTGAAACATTTTCCATGTGTTGTTGCCACTTCAATGGTACTTCAGTGTTTTTTTTTCGTGGCTCTATGGATGTGAAACCTTTTTTTAACGTTATGGAACATTAACCTGAAAAATGGCATAATGAGAATTGGCACTGGTAGAGTAATGAGGTTGGTTTCCAGACAGACATTTTTGTGTTAATGTATCATATCTCCTCTCTCATTTAGCTGAAGTTTTCTTTAAAGGGATAGTTCACCCCAAAATAAAAAAATACCCATATTCCCTCTTACTTGTTGTGCTATTTATGCATCAAGATCGTTTTGGTGTGAGTTGTTGAGCTCTCCAGTTTATTGGAACCAGGTGGCACTGGGCTTGTGGTGCTCAAAGTGCCAAAAAAAATACATTTGAAAACTCAACTGCAATCATAACCCAGTTACTAAAGATAATTCAGACCTTGATGTGAGCAGTTTCTTGTAGGAACTGTTTTCTTTCTACATATCACTGCACAGAAGGAAGCGTCATCTACTTGTGGATGAGAGGCTCGTGACAGTGCAGGATGTAAACATTAATGCCGTCCTCTCTGGCTGAACTGTAATGTTTCCTTCCTTGTGCACAGTGATACGGTTGTTGGGTGTAATACGGTAGGAAGAAAACAAGGTCACAAGGATTGTGGATTATCTTGAGTAACCAGGTCTTGATTTCTAGAAAGAGACATTGCTTGAGTATTTCAAATGTATTTTTTCGCCGTTTTGAGCACCACTAGAAGAGTGCGATCTGGTTCTATTAAACTGGAGAGAAGGCCGACATCTCCAAAGCTCAACAACTCACACCAGAACAATCTCGATGTTTTTTTGATTTTGGGGGAATCTGTCCCTTTAACTTTCACTCCTCTATTGTCTGACATCTTGACAATCGTTGTTTGTAGGAATGTTGACAGACCAGAGCTTTGTCAGATCTCCCTCTACGACTTCCAGAAATTTTTACAGATGGACCAGAAGGTACCGAACAAACACAACATGCGCTAACACAACACAGAGAATGCTTTCTTTCTGCTTTGTGCTCACTTCTCTATCGTCTCAGGACTCCTGGGCATCAGATCTGAGTCGTGTCAGAGAGTTCCTCATGGGGTACATGAGGGGTGGACCGCAGCCTGAGCCCATGCTGCAACTTGACGAGGTGAAACCTGATAAAGACACACAAATGTGCACAAAACTTTAAATAAACTGTGTCGATTTCTTCCTACCATCTGACCATCTGATCGTATTTCTTTATGTTTCTAGTTCCTGACATTCCTATTCTCTAAAGAGAATTCCATATATGATCCTCGACTTTCGACTGTTGTTCCTGATGACATGAAAAGGCCGCTGTCTCAGTATTGGATCTCCTCTTCACACAACACGTAGGTCTCAACACTTGTGTCTCAGATGCTCCTGAATATTCATATTTTAGACCCCCGTAAAGACACATGTAAAGAGTTGGTCTCAGAAATCCTCATACTGTGTAAGAAGATTGTGTTATTGTATTGAAAGGAGCTTTAGGGAATTCATTGTAGTTGGTGATTTGAAGGTCCAGTGTTGTTTTTTTTTAGGAGGATCTACTGGCAGGAATAAATATAATACTTATAGGTATGTTTCCTTTAGTGTAAAATAACCTTTAAACAAGAATTGTTGTGTTTTCGTTACCTTAGAATGAGACATTTTGATTTACAGTGAGCCCTTTTCCACAGAGCCCACCATGTTTCTACAGTAGCCCAGAATGGACAAACCAAACACTGACTCTCCATAGGGCCATTTCTGTCTTTGAACTAAGCTAAACATGTCACGTTTATATTGAATGAAATGCAGAAATAATTAGCTGACTTATCAGTAAGTAGATCAACAGAAAATCTGACTGAATCAACTAATCGTTTTAAGCCATAAATCAAATAAAAATGATAAATATTCTGATTCCAGCTTTTCAAATGTGAGGATTTGTTGCTTTTCTCTGTTTTTATATCATTGTAAATGTGAAGAGGTTTATCAGTGCTAGACCATTTTGTTATGGCAGCTCTTGAATGCACATAACTCTACCTCTCAGTAGTAAGGCAGAAAATAATCAAATTTATGAACCTTTCCATGTTTTTGTTTTCCTCAGCTACCTGACAGGTGACCAGTTTTCCAGTGAATCCTCTCTAGAAGCCTACGCCCGCTGCCTGAGGATGGGCTGCCGCTGCATTGAACGTAAGAGTCTCCAACTTTTGATTTTAACTCACATTAAATGGCTTTAAGCAATCCACTGGGCCACTGTGAAGTTGAGCTGTTACTCCTTTAAATACTGCTCACATATGGAATGGCAGTGTTGTTTTGTGTTCAGATTTCTGTTGTTCTAGTCTTTTCTGGATTCAGTGAGGGTTTATACATAAATCTGTGTTTCCTGATCTTAGTGGACTGCTGGGACGGACCTGACGACCTGCCGATCATCTACCACGGCCACACTTTAACCTCCAAAATCAAATTCCTGGATGTGCTGCACACCATCAAAGAACACGCCTTCGTCACATCTGAGTAAGTGGTAATCACCCCTGTTGAGTTGGTTTTAGCTGCCACAATATACGTCACCTGTCTCCAGATCAGCCAGTAGCGAAATTCAATTGCAGTAGCCGGGTTTTAAGCAGTAGAGGGTTGTTGTGTTTGTGCAGGTTTCCTGTGATCTTGTCCATCGAGGACCACTGCAGTGTGGTCCAACAGAGGAACATGGCCACACACTTTAAGAAGGTGTTTGGAGATCTGCTGCTCACCAAGCCAGTCGACAACAACGCAGAGGAGCTTCCCTCACCCCACCAGCTCCGCAGGAAGATCCTCATCAAGGTACACAGACAAACACACACCTACGTTGCATATCAAATCAGAGAGTGCATCCCTCAAAGTCAGCAGTATAATAACTTTTAGTCATTCCAGATTTTGGTTCAAGTAGGTCCTCGGTCACTGTGTGTTTCACTGTCCCTCTCTTGGTGTCAGTTTCAGGCCTGTTGCATCACTTATGACTGTGGGTAGATGTTGTGAAAAGTGAATCTGTTACAACTGTAACCACCTGTAAGTTTGAGAGAAGAAGTTCAAGCTTGTCGTAGGTTTCAGGCCAATTTAAGAACTGAATTAGGCCCTTGTGTAGTTTGTCTGTAAGGTGGCCTACAACCAAACATCACTCACAAGACTCAAGTTGAAGTTACAACATCCTTGAGAAAAGGATCCCTGACCTCCATTAAAACTCGGGGGATGAGACAGATTGTCCAAAGTGGTGTTAACTTTTTGGACCTGTCACAAGTCCAAACATAATATACACATGCAGTAAAATGCTCCCACGTTGTCTTACTGATCACAAAGCCAAACTGTGTCTTATGTTTTTACCATTTTTGTCGCAGCACAAGAAACTGGTGGAAGGCACGCTTTATGAAGAAGTGTCATCAGCCAGTTACTCTGAAAACGACATCAGCAACTCTCTGAAGAACGGCATCCTTTACCTCGAGGATCCCATCGACCACGTGCGTGTGTCCAAGTGCTTCAGTGCCAGCGGCTATGCATAAAACACAACACGTGTGTTATACAGCATTATTGATATGTATTTTTTTGTGTGACATGCAGACGTGGACTCCACACTATTTTGTCCTGACCAGTAATAAGATTTACTACTCAGAGGAGACGTCTCACTACCAGACAGCTGATGAAGAGGAGGACGATGAAGGAAAAGAGGTAGGGAGATGATGATGATGATTATGAGAGCTATTGATGATGATGCAGTCAGGTTCCTCACTCTTTCCTGTAATTCCTCAGGAGTGTAACAACAACGAGCAGCACTGTGCAGAGCGCTGGTTCCACGGGAAGCTTGGTGGAGGTCGCGATGGTCGGCAGGTGGCTGAGAAGCTCCTGCAGGAGTACTGCGAGGGCGGGGCCAAAGACGGCACCTTCCTGGTCCGGGAGAGCGAGACGTTTGTGGGCGACTACACCCTCTCGTTCTGGTCGGTAACACCAAACAGGACATGAGCTTCCTCTCTTTGTCTTCTTTCTATTTGGTCTTTTTTTTCCGTGGAGAAAAGTTAAAGGGAATGTAGAAACACATTTATAAGACAGTCGTGAGTTGAGGAACAAAATGTGATCATAGCTGCAAACAGCAGTACAGCAACCAAAGATTTGCCAATATTGTAAATTTCAATATAAAGAGAGTCATCCACTACATCCGTCTCTGGTCTGGCAAATTATTTTACCAGTGAATCAGCAGATAAATATTATGTTTGACAAAAATATTCTTGAAGCTTTTATCTTGTGGCCTTTACTCAGCGGACACAGTTTCTCAGTTGTCATTAAGATAGTTTACTGTTAACATGTGATATAATTAGGGAGTTTGAGTCACAGAACAAGGCCACAAGATGTGACTGAAATGTCCAGAAACGAGTTGGATCTTACGTTAAACGGGGTGTTTGTGTGGTCTTAAATATGACAGCTCTTAAAAATTAAGTGGATTAATTAAATTAATGTTACTTGTATAAAGTTGCAAAGTCTCGTTTTTAAATGTGTTTTTGGGGGCAAAATAAAACAATACCAATTTTCTTTCACATGCTTTGCACTTTTTGTCAGTATGGACATAAAGAATGAACCTTGAGAAGTACAGCAGCATGAGGAATTTTGTATGACAATGTGGGTGAAATTTGAACAAATTATATAAAGTTTTGAAAGTGTCAATTAGTTCACGTCTCCAGCCTGAGTTGTATGACAAGATCAACGTACAAACTCTCTCCTGTTCCTTCTCCTTTAGGCGGTCTGGTCGAGTCCAGCACTGCCGGATCCATTCACGTCAGGAGTCTGGCTCCACTCGCTTCTACCTGACCGACAACCTGGTGTTTGACACCCTCTACCGCCTCATCTGCCACTACAGAGACACGCCTCTGCGCTGCAACGAGTTCGAGATGAGGCTGGGCAGCCCTGTACCTCAGCCCAATGCACACGAGAGCAGAGAGTGAGCGAATAATGTCTGCAAAGGTGTCATAGGTCTTTTTGATTTGTGTGAAAAGTTGAACAGGTGATATGTTTGTTTTAAAAAAAGTTGTCTGTTTTCCAGGTGGTACCACTCCAGTCTGTCCCGCGTTCAGGCTGAACACATGCTGATGCGAGTTCCCAGAGACGGAGCTTTCTTGGTGCGAAAACGCAGCGAACACAACTCCTACGCCATCTCCTTCAGGTAGAAGAACAACACTGACGGATGATCATCGGTTTTCTTCTCAATATGAACATTTTAAAACCACCAAAATGATCTTCTCTCTCCTCCCTTCCCTCTGTCTGTGTCCATCTGTCTGTAGGGCGGAGGGAAAGATCAAACACTGTCGTATCCAGCAGGAAGGCCGTCTCTTCATGTTGGGCAGCTCAGCAGAGTTTGAGAGTCTGGTGGACCTTGTGAGCTACTACGAGAAACATCCTCTGTATCGCAAGATGAGGCTCCGGTACCCCATCAATGAGGACACCTTGGACCGGATGGGCACCACGGTTAGCTCACTGTTTTAGTCTATTTAATAAGAATCACATCACTTTCCTCCCATACTGCCTAAAATGCAGTATCGGTGTGTGTATATATATATATATATTTTTTTTTTAAACCATGTTTAACCACGTTACATTAAATTATAACTTTAAGTAAAATAATGTGGGAAAAGCAAATGATTATGAATTTAATAGAAACATTAACTACAGAAGTAACCATTATCTGTTGATTATTTCTCAGGAGCTTGACTACGGGGCGCTGTATGAGGTCCGCACTCCTCATTTCTATGTGGAGGCCAATAAGATGCCCACAGCCCGGGTAAGTGAGAATGTTGGTACTTTGGACCTCCTGTTTAATCCTTGTATGATTATTTAATGATTGTCATATCTTATCACATTATTTAATAAATGATTAGCAGATGCAATTACCATTAAAGCTGATATGGGTACACTTTTCTATCATTATCAGCAGTTAAAATAAATACCAAGTAAACCTGTAGACAACAAACCAACCTGTAACAGCAGCACACGTACAGGAAGTTTTTGGTTTAATTGAACGTTTAATACTGAAGATATTTGAGAGATTTGTGTGCTTTTAGATTAGTTTAAAGAATAAATACAGAAAATTAGGAAAGATACATTAAAGGATAGGAAAAACAAAGAAAGAAGACAAAGAAAACATAAGAAAAACATTATTTGGATTATTGGAAGTGTGTGGAAATGGAGACTGGACTTTGGCTCCCCCCAGTGGTCGTATCTAAAAGTGACTGATGGTGTTTCTTGCTGCTGTGTTTCAGTGTACGGTCAAAGCTCTGTATGACTATCGAGCTCAGAGGGAAGACGAGCTCTGTTTCCCCAAACAGGCGCTCATCCTCAACGTGGACAAACAAGAGGGTGGCTGGTGAGTGTATCTCAGCGTACATGCGACCGTGTCCATTAACGCCACGTGACTCCCATTCACATCTCAAACCTGTGTGTCATCTTTAGGTGGCGAGGTGACTACGGAGGAAAGAAACAGCTGTGGTTTCCTGCAAACTACGTGGAGGAGGTTCCCAGTTCTCCCACCAGAGAGCTGGATGAAGCAGTGAGTTCTGAGTCTTACACGGAGGCAAACGTTCAGCTTGCTTTTCCCAATCATAATCAATCTCTTGTTTTCCTATTGTTATTGTTGTCTCAGTCCACAGAAAACAGTCCTCTTGGAACATTTCTCAAGGGCTTCATTGATGTACCCACCTGTCATGTAGGTGAGTCAGATAAACAAACAGAGGTGATAACTTTCATTTAGTTATATTCAGATGATTAGGGAGAGATGGATCAGATTTTAAGTGTGACTAGCCAATAATGGATCTGTCACCCAATTAAAAAGTAAGCAAATGAATGGAGACGTCTTTCCAAATCAGGGTTTCAACAGGTTAAATTCAAGAGCTTTTAAGACCTATTTTAGGGCCATATTGGTAAAGAAAAGGATATGAAGGAAAAAAAACATCGTTAACAACCTCCCACCCTACACGTACATAGTCTTAAATGTTTTTATGAACAATAAAACACTAAATTAAAACATGAGCTGGAGGATCTCTTGGCAGAAATGAATGTTATACATAACTGAGTTTTCATTAGTGTACAATCACCTGAAAATAACAATAGTTGTGTTTTCGTGGTCTACAAAAGAAGCAGATGCTCTTCTACGGAGGCATCCACATTGAATCTAGAAGGCACTAAAGATGGCACTAAATCCTACACAATGGACCTTAAATTCCATTGGTTTTATTTTGGGCCACATCTGTTTACCCCATTTATTAAAAATAACAATTCCTAGTAGAAGCTAATTTATTATATTCTATTAGTAGATCAACACAGTGTTTTGTTGTTACTCTTTATCCCTCAAACTGCCCAAAGGCTAACATGTAATTATCAATAGTCAAAAAGCGACTGCCTTCTCACACTTAACTCACTCTCTGCCTCGAACCTCTTCCTCCCATCATCTCTGTCCAGTGGTGCACAAGGATGGGAAGAACTCGCGGCCCTACGTGTGCACGATCCACTCCCAGCACCTGTCCTCGCACCCAGTCCAGACTCTGGATGTGGCAGCTGACACTCTGGAGGACCTAACCAGCTGGGTCAGCAAGATCAGAGAGGCTACGCAGAACGCTGATGCACGGGTCAGTACGAACTTCCATTCATCATAAAACTAAATAAAATAACAATAAAGATTTAATCATTCCAAATCCTAAAACGTCTTGAACTAATGGTAAAACTTTACCTTGTTTTCCCTTTTGTGACCATATTGCCGCTCACCAATGTCTAAAAGGAGTTTTATATTGTTGGCTTATCTCCATGGTAACAGATGCAGGAGGAGAAGCAAATGGAGAGGAGGAAGAAGATTGCAGTGGAGCTGTCTGAGCTAGTGGTCTACTGCAGACCTGTCCCCTTCAACGAGGACAGTAAGGATTCACTCTGCTCTCTCTTCTTCTCTTGTCTCATTGTAACAGTTTCTGTGTGTAACTTTCTTTGCTGCTGCTTCCAGAGATCGGGACGGAGAGGGCGTGTTACCGGGACATGTCCTCCTTCCCAGAGACAAAGGCAGAGAAGTTTGCAACTCGCGGCAGAGGGAAACGCTTCTTGCAGTACAACCGCCGTCAGCTTTCCAGAGTTTATCCCCGAGGACAGAGGCTGGACTCGTCCAACTACGACCCGCTGCCTATGTGGCTCTGTGGCTCCCAGCTGGTCGCACTCAATTTCCAGACCCCAGGTCGGTGTTCAAATACGCATTATGTGTATGTTTAGACGAGGTCAAAGCAAAGAGGTACACAAAGAAATTTGTAAGACACGTCTTTTCACACTGATTGTGAGCATAGAGTATTAAAGGTACAGAAGTTCATTCAGCAGCGAATTAGTTTTTCTTGCTTAAGACACAAATTCATGAAACTGAAAAAAGAGAAATAAATCAATAAAATAAGATACTATTAACAAGAAACACTAAATTATTAAACACAAAATTGTTGTAGTTCAATTTAACTGAAATCTAACTTCTTTGTGCAAGTTGTAATATTGAAATTTGCAATTAGCAGTGTTAGTTAAACAACTAAAATTAGTAAGTTACTAAAGACTCAGTAGCAATCTCTTTTTCATTGAACAACTTTTTCTACACATCTTTGTAACTTAAAAGATGCAATTAGTTGTATTAATTAAAAGCAGTGTAACATGCTCAGAGTACTTTTTGGTTGTAATGAGTTAGTTTTGCAGTTCAATTAATTAGTTATTCATTTGAGTTTACAAATAAGCAATCTGTTACCGTATTTCCCTGTTCTTCTTAACGCTTGGTGGGTAGCTGCGTTTTAGTGGATAGTATCTAATCCTACAGTTGTGTCAGTGTGTATGTGTAGCTCAGCTAGCGAGATGGCAGAGAGGAAAGCCTGTACATTGTGAAAGTATTCACATTACTTTGAGGACAGTTTATTTGTCAGAAACAGTTTAATTGTGGTAAAAGGAGCACCTAAATGCAACATTTGAGCCACATCCTATAAAAGGTTGCAGCAACAGGCTCCTAACACTGAGGGCGCCATCTATATGTGCATTGAATAAATATTAAATTAACTGTGTGTGTTGTAGATAAACCGATGCAGCTGAACCAGGCCCTGTTCATGCTCGGAGGTGGCAGCGGCTACGTTCCCCAGCCTGACATCATGAGAGACGACGCCTTTGACCCTTTTGACAAGGACACCTTACACGTGGAGCCAATCACCATCCAGTTACAGGTCAGCTGACGTCATAGAGAGAACAAAAAGAAAACTCCTGGGTGGATTCATTTTGATTCATTTTCATGTCCTTCCGCTCTTCCTGCTTTAGGTCCTGGGGGCCCGTCATCTGCCTAAAAATGGCCGCAGCATCGTCTGTCCCTTTGTGGAGGTGGAGATCTGTGCAGCTGATTATGACAGCTGTAAGTGCAAGACAGACGTTGTAGGTAAGACAGCTTCTGCCATCGCGCCACAGTGATGTGAAACCTCAACATTGTTCCCTGAGTGTGCTCACTGGCTGTGTACTAACGGTCTCTTTCTCCTGACCCTCCCAGCTGATAACGGTCTGAATCCTGTGTGGGTGCAGAAGCAGTTTGTGTTCGACATCCACAACCCCACCTTCTCCTTTCTACGCTTCACCGTCTACGAGGAGGACATGTTCAGTGATCCTAACTTCCTGGCTCAGGCGACCTACCCGGTCCGTCTGCTCCGAACAGGTGACTGTGGAATAAGTGACACTGATTTTAGATTAACTGCAAACCCAGTTTACATTAAATGCAAATGACATGGTTTTTTAAGAGTAAGTATTATCAAAAGCTCGAGCTGAGAAAACCAAATAATTAAAAGTGAAAATCACACTTAAAGGAAGGGGACACACACAGACTTCTGTGTCTTCATCTGAGTGGACGGAAGGAAAATATATGAATCAATAATATATTCACACAAGTTAACCTAGAATAGATGTACAATTGACCCTTTCTAAGTCCCGCCCCTTTTTGCTCTGTGTTCCAATAACAGTTGAGCAAACTTTGGTAAACTTTCTCCTTTCCTGCACTCAAAAAGATAAAAAGCAACATGTATACAGTCACATCTTAAGTTACCTTGCTAACTTACGTCAATCATCAGTTCGCTAACATTTCGCTAATATTAGCTAACCTAAGATGTGACTATATGTTGCTTTTATCCAAGTACAGGAAAGGAGAAAGCTGCGGAGGTTCTGGCTGAAGCTTGCACAGAGCAAGCAGGGGCGGGACTTAGGAAGGGTTAATTGTAAATTATTCTTGGCAATGTTTTGACAAAAAATATCTGTCTTTATTCTGTGTATTTATTCTGTTATTATATTTGTTGTGCCGTCAGGCTACAGGAGCGTCCCTCTAAAAAACAGCTACAGTGAAGAACTGGAGTTGTCTTCACTTCTGGTCCACATAGAGATCGTCAATGCAAAGGTGACGCTCTTTTTCTTTCTCTTGCTTTCAGCAACATGGATGACAAATACGTTGGATTTGTTCGTTTGTAAAACAAAACTATATGATATATAATTCTATTCAAAGTTAATAAATGATAATACCAAATCAGTGGTTCTCAACCAGGGGTCCCCAGAAAAATGTGGAATATTTAAAATTTGAATTTAATTAACGAAAAGCTAGTCAAATGAGAAAATATCTATTCTGTTCACAGGTTTCACACTCTAGACAGTTATGGAATAACTAAATATTATCTGATGGGGAAACCTGAGACTACATCTTTACCACTGTACTAAATCATAAACGCTCTACTCTTGGTCAACCTTTCATACGCACATCCGTACACAAGCTGTAACTTACACTTTTCTCCTCGTGGCTGCAGGAGGAAGACGATGAGAACCTGTACATGTCCATCCAGCGGCTGCGGGATCGAACCAGCGAACTGTCGAACCAGATTTCCCTCCTGGAGAGGTCGGGCTCGGGGGATCTCAGCTACCAGCAGAGTCTTTAGGAGCTCGGAGCGGCTCAGGACAGCTGGAGCGACAGCTTGGTGGGAGGCGTGCGAACCGCAGGCTGACTTGCATTATACACCACACACCACACACACACACACACACACACGCACAGACACACACAGCAGAGGAAAAAGATTTAGAGAGAAGAAGCATGGGTTTAATTGATTTGGTGTACTACCTATGGGTGTAACGGTATCCAGCAACAGTCTCACGGTTCAGGTATCCGTATCGGGTATGGGGGTCACGCGGTTTGGTACGGGTTTCGTTACAACTTTCTTGAATCAGAACACCGCATTGACGCTGCAAAAAATAACATAAAACCATCTCCTGTTATAAAAGTAAAAAAATAAAGTAGAATACAACTCAAAACCAAGAATGTATAAGGAGGGGTTCTCATTCTACAGGAGGAAACAAGACTACGACTTGAGGTAGTCAGGGTAGCGCAGTAGTCGTGTGACTGCCGCTGCACGAACCGTGACTCCGTACCGTGACGGTTCGGGACGAATACAAATACCGTTACACCCCTAGTAGATACCCCTTTAATTTTTTTATTAGTACTGAAACGATAAGTCGATGCAATAAAAATGTTGTTAATATGTCTTCTGGTTTTAGCCTCTCAATTTTGAGGATTTGCTGTTTTAAATCATTGTTAATGGAGTATTGTGGGGTTTTGGACTGTCGCACAAAACAAGCTGTGTGAAGATGAATCCATTAAATCCATCCAAATTAGTAATTCATAATGAAACTAATCATTAGCCCTATTTGCTATTTTTTCATGGGACTGCAACTAGCAATTATTTTCCAATAATCTTCTTAATTTTCTTCTTATTAATTGTTTGGACATTTTATCACATAGTCCAAATCCAAAATTTACTATCATAGAAAATATTCACATTTGAGAAGCTGGAATCAGTGAATTTCATGTCAATTGCCTAATCGATTAATATACTAATTCTTTTAGCTCTATTTTCTCTAATTAAAATTCTTTTTGCAAAAACTAGTATTTTATGTATGTATTCAATGTATACTTTATATGGTAGAATATTTTAGTTTTTAGTAGTAGTTATTTTTCATTACTTCAAATTGTAGAATCTCCAAGTTGCTCATTATTGATTTGATCTAAATTCCTATCTCTCCCCTGTTGCAGTTAACTTTAAACCACAAACAGGCATGGGATGATATATGAAAGCACGCACACACATATAAAACACTTCTCATACAAAGTAATTTTCTTTCTGCTTTTTCAGGCTGATGGAGAAGAAGAGGAGGGAGAAGCTGAGGCAGCAGGTGGCCGCAAAGCGCAGCTAATCTTCCCGTCCACCAGAGAGCGCTCAAGTCCAGCACAAACGGTGCCTGGCGCTCGCTGCCACCAGAGCTGTGCAGCGACAGCCTGAGGAGACAACAGGCTCTCAATCCATTTATAACTGGAAACAAAAAGCTGTTAAGTAACATGTTGTACTAACAGCAGAGGAAAAAAGTGACAGAAACATCTCATGGACTAAAAAATAAACCTCACAAAACTAAGCTATAAAAACAATCACGGACTGAAGGCTGAAACACTGTCCAAAAAGAACGTGCCGTGTTGCATTCATAGAAATATAGCGCCATTTTCTTATCATCTACAGATACATCTCATGCAATACAAGATCCCGTGTTCTTCCCTGAATTGTCAGTGAAAGGAAAACGTTCTAAAAACGCCACCAAAGAAAAGGATGAAACACATTGCTGGCCAACAAACGACTGCAGATAGAGCTATATTTTCTGCCCCTTAATCTACCTCTGATGAGTTTTCAGATATATTTACAACATATAGCATATTATGGAATATAACCATAATTATAACCATATAAAAAACACATTATACTGGGGACCCACTAAAAGACCTCCAGTGGGACTCACTACATTGAAGACTATTAACATCACTGAAAAACACCAAACATTTGCTGGTTCAAGCTCAAGAATTTGCCGCTTTTCTTTGTGTTATCTGATCATAAATGAGCAGAATTTTCATTTTCAGGACTATTGATTGGACAAACAAGCCATTTGAAGTTGCAACCTGCAGCTTAAGGAAATAATAACAGGCATTATTCATCATTTTATGGACAAAAAACATAAGCAATCAATTGAGAAAATGAGTGTTATTTGCACTAATCACGATGAGTGAGTCTGGCAGAGTTTTAGATTTCTCACAGAATAAAGATTACCCCCCCCCACACACACACACATTTACACAAAAAAAAATCTGGCCCGGCTGCTTCTTGACACCTTTCAGAAAGTGGAACTTTTTAGCACAGACGGTGATACAACAAACACGACATGCCTTTGGAAATTTAAGTTTGAAGCTCTTACTGTGTTTTAGTCTTCAGCAAGAAAAGAAGAGGAAATAAGGGAGAAGAAAACTCAGGTTACACAGATGGATGGAATTACATAAGATCAGATGTCTGGATGGAAAAAAGGGAGCAGTGGGCACACGTAGCAAAAAATAAATATCATGTATGTGCCTTTTGATGTGGAGAATAATTACTCAAGTGTTTAACAAAAGACTGACTGCTTTCTCTACAATTGGAAGAGTGGCCCTTAGGGAAAGCTAAAAAACTGGAGGAGGAATATCGCCCGCTTGGCTTGGACCACTACTCATGAAATGGGTTTAGAAAAGGGATTAAAAGACTTAAGTCTGTTCCTCCTAATTTTTTTGGGGGGTGATCACGTGGACTCTGCCCTCAGGTGGGTGGAGCTCCTGTCACAGACGTTCCTGTTCTACCTGGGAGATCACAAACTGGAATGTCGAATAAATCCAAACCACACCGAGAAGGTCTTTTAATACTTCTTCAAAAAGGGCTCTAAATAAATCTATACTACCTTAAGAGGCACGAGGAGAGCGAGCAGGGGAGGCGGAAATAGGGAAGACCTCATTTCGCACAGTGCCCCCCTGGATGTCACCCGCACAGGAGCTCAGGTGTGTTCGTCACAGTCGGACACACACACACGACAAACAAGGGCTATCACAGAAAACTAGCAAAGCACCCTGTCACCTGTCTGTTCAGATGTTTCGCCTCGCGTCTGAACCACGAGACCAGGATCAGTTCCCATCGTCTGGCTCTAATCAACAGCTGTGGTTCAACTGGTCCTGGATCTGCCAAAAACGGCTTCATTTCGACCCCACTGCATGGCTTCATATCTAATAACCCCCCCCCCGTAGCTACTTCACCTTCCCATCAGCCCCCCTGTCTGATTTCTTACTGTATATAACTTCTTTTATTTATCGAACAGGTGTAAATCCTGTTTTAATAGATGAAAGAAAATACTAGAAGAATGATAATGGACTTCAGATTGAAGATGCTGTAACTTTATGTAGAAATTAATATCGTGTACCTGGAGCTCCCTTTAAATGTCCCCATAGACACAATCCTCTCTTTCTCCCTGCGCTGCACTCGCACCGGGTAGGGACTTCTATGCAAAGGTCGTCTTTCTCGGCCTATAGACATCGTGTATTAGGCAATTTGACTCAAGTTGTGTTTTTTCTCCGTATCTATGCTAACTGTGTCCAGTATTATTACTCTGCATTACAAATCCTGTACAAGTTTCCATTTAATAAAAGCTCTTTCATGTACTCCTGTGTGCATTCTTTTTGAAGCATTATGTAAGGCAAAAAAAGCCATTTCTTCAAACAGTTAGATGGCAATTTTACTGCTTTTTATGTCTTAAAGGGGGCTTAAACATTGTAATGTTACAGTTACAATGACATCTAGGATACTGGGCAGAATATTAAGTTGTTTGTGCCTTTGATGTTTTCTTGGCTGGGATACTTCTACACATCTACACAGAGTATATGAGGCAATCAAGGCAGTTTAATTATAAAACCAGAATCAATATAATCACCCACATAGGGTTACAGCACCTAATGGTCTAAAGTCTTCATACAGTACTGTGTGTGTGGTAAACATTAAAAAAGGCACATGGTTGAAAATCAGCTGTAGATTTTAAGAAAGGAAGAAAATACTAGAAAATATTTAGTACTAAGTTAACTAATATTAATACTAAGTTATAGAAATCTAAAAAATGAAACAAACTGATCTCCATTAAAATAAAGATTAAATTAAAAATGCACCTGCCCAACCAACACAATAGCACTAAAGCTAATGTTTGACTTTTATTACAGTACATTCAGTAGCTTTAAAGGGGAATGAGCAGTGTTCAGACAGACACTGATATTTAAAGTGTACATGCTGAACCCTAAGCTGAAACTATATTTAATGTCATATATGTCTTACAGATATGAATTCAGATATAAAAAAGGGTTTTAGCTTACAGATATAAAACCTACTTGTTGTGTCTTTAGTAAATTATTTGTATTCCTAGAACACAGAGAGCTAAAAATTAACTTCAGTTTGTGTGTGTCAGAGGAACCTGAGCTCCTTTCCACAAATAAAAGACTGAGAAATTATAAACATCAGCTACTTTATAAGAACTTTATCGGTACCGTAAAACATCAATTCAAAGCAGGGTCTCAATTAGAGGCGGGTCTTACTAGCCTGGTGTGGCAACACATTTTTTGACAAATAAACTAAGCTCTCCATTAGAGGTCTGGATTTTATAGACATTTTTAGGATCTATAAAATCCTTAAAGCCCACCGGGTCACCTGCTTGAGTTGGTTCTAAGCTACTACGATCGCTCACAGAAATATAAATGTTTTGTTAATATGGACATGCTACACATCGCTAGTTACATTCTCAAGTAACATTCATACTGGTTTAAATAAACAAGTTGATAGTATTTCCCATCTTTGCTAAGCAAGAGGAATCAGTCCCATATAGAGGCCTGTTCCAAATAAAGGCAGGTTGAGTTCAGTGATTGAAACTTGGGCTATTAATTCAAGTTTTAGGGTATTTACTTTATTTAAAGGGGTAAAATCAGAGGATGAAAAAGATTAGTGAAGATTTTATCATTTCTCAGAACCCAAAGTGACATTTTTTTGTCCAACCAACAGTCCAACAAACCCAAATATATTCAGTATATAATGATAAAAAGGAAAGAAAAGCAGCAAATGCTCACACTGGAAAAGCTAAAAACAGTGAATGTTTGCAGTTTCTTTAAAAAAAAAAGACAAACCGATTAATATTTGATACATTTTCGGTCTATCTACTAAACTAATGGATGCAGATCTAGTTCAGGTTCATCCTTGGTCACACTACATGACTTTCACAGTTGTCAGATCAATGCACTGTTCACACTAGCAGCTATCTCTCTTGTAATTGGGAGTCTTGAAGTCCTGGTTTTTACACTATGTGACTGATCACCAACAGGGGGTCACACACTACAAGATCTATTTACAAGGAGTCATTTATAACAGGCATATCATGTTCAATTAGGAAAGTAGTTTTAAAGGGCAACCATTTAGAGCATACGGTACAATCAGCTAATCAATACACACATCATTAAACCATTAATCAGTCTCATAACTAACAGCACTCAATGTCAGACAACCTTATTATCCTGTAGCAGTTTCCTCATGTTTCTGCAGTAGTGACAAAATGTTAAATAATATACATATTAGCAATTTGGATTGAACTAAAATCTCCCTGTGCCAAACTCCCATAAAGAAATATTACATTTCAACAATTCCTCACAACACGTAACTTTACAAACTCAAGCTAAAGTGCCTCATTTAAAGACAGTATTCTTGTCATTTCGGCATCAATATAATCCATAAAGATAAACAGTATTCCAGATACAAACTTTACATCAAGTTAAGTAGACCTACTGTATACAAGTCTACAAGTGTCTGAGCTGAATGCACTGTTTTCAGCTAAATATCAATGAGCGGCCATCTACTTCTAAAAGCTATTTATTCACTTTGTGTTCTCATTGACTGACTACGTTGTACATGTATGTGTCAGCCACCCTGAGTCATTGTCACTAAACTGGCCCTTGAAATGTTACTCTGGTTAATGTGCAATACTCTAGGTTGGACAAGTGCAGTATGCAATGTAAGAGCTGTAATAACAAAACAGGATCATAATAAAGTACTGTAGCTCTGCAGAGGTGCACGGGTCTACAAATCTTGTTTTACAGATCTTAAAAAAACATGTTTTTATTTGGTACGGACCCCAACAAATTTCAAATCATCATGATTTTAATTGTTTTTTTTTTAAAGTTAAAATTCAATTTGTTATACAAAACATATCATTCTCACATAATCATGAATCACAATATCTGTTAAAATAATCACAATATGATGTGTTTACCAAATTGTGCAGCCCTACTCTTTACTATTCATTCATTACACTTCCATCTGTCATATACTTCACCATACACTTCATTTACACTTTTGTTTAGATTTAGATTTACTTTGTATATAGACTGTTACTATCTTATTATATCTCTTAGGCTCTTATTCAATTACTATTTTATTTTTTACTTTTGTACATTCATTTCTATTCCATATATTTTTTATCTTAGATATTGTATACAAGTACTATTTCTTTAACGTTGTGTGAGTAGGAAACTGTAACGAACAATAAAGTATTTCTCTCTAAATATTGTTATATATTGTATTATAATGTACATACTTAGTCTTATAAGTATATAGGTATATATATTAATTTATTTTTTCTTATTTTCTGTTTATACTTTTTGATATTGTAATGTAATACATAATTTTAACAGAATAAATTCTATATTATATATAAAAAAAGTATTTTCAATAAAAGTTCAAAACTGGGGGGGAAAACAATCTTGTGTTTTTTTAAACAACTTTATTGATAACAGACAAATTTAAATATATAACATATTTAAAGAACAAAAAGAGGAAACAAAGTGGGAATTCAGTTATGAAATAAAGAAAAACAAACTGGACAAATCACTTTCATTTTATTGTTAATTGTCACCATAAATAGAAGACTATGGAACATTTGCATTATATTACATTTTTCATTTGGGGAATGCAGTAATGATATTCCTTCTCCAATCTGATTACTGGGTTCTTTTGAGTCTTTCTTTTAATGCATTGGGTGTGGTATGTGGGCATAACTCCTAGCCCTGGATCCATTACCTAATAGATCTGAAATCCTCTTCAACCAATTATCTATTTTTGTTTAATTCCAGCAGTTTTCATTTGAAAATGTACAAAGTATTTCAAATCTTCCATGTTTAAAAGGCGTTTAGTATCGTATGACATCTGAAATATCATCAGATGTCACAGTGGAGAAGCATTTTACACCTTCATTGAGTTTTTGGAGGAACATGAAGTTCTGTGTGTACGAAGTTCACCGTAGAGGTCAGGTTTTTGTACTGAAGTGCAGCAGAAAATGGAACACGAAGGATTACTCATAAAACTGGGTGATACTAGCATTTTCAGACAGGCCGGCGAGTTAGCCATTACTGCACTGTACCTCTCTCTTGTGCGTGTGAGAGTTTTGTGTGTGAAGAAGTGTCTGTCTGACCAAGCTCCATCAGATTGTAGTTGGTAGTTTTAAGGGAATAGTTTCCAAATAATTCAGCAAAAAGACAATGACTTCCTTGCAACACGTGAATCCCAGAGTGAGGGGGATCAGAGTCTCACCACACAGTAGACTGAGTCTGGCTGCAGATATCACACAAAAGATCGCACTGGTAAGTAAAGATTGCAAAGATTTATTTCCTCTCATTCAGATTTACTAGCTCTTTAATTAAGTGCAAGTAAAAGGATGCAATTTAATTTCCTTCAATTAAATAAAGACAAGAGAGAAATCACTTTATTAGGCCACAAAGAGGAACAAATGAAAGTAGAAACTCCAGTCAGTATTGTTGTTTTAACAGACTGCGATCTGAGTTAGAAGTCTTATGTCCACACTTGTGATCCTTTCCTCTCCTGCAGGGAGCGCAGAAACCCTCTAAAGAGGTGATCGATGTCAGCTCAGGTGATCCTCACAAAGCAGGAATGAAGCCTGTCTCATTAGTTCGCCAGGTTGGTTTTGTTATTTGCGTTTTTCATGTGTTTCAGTGCACTTCAGTTGGAAAAACTCTTGATAATTTGCAGGCTAGTCGATCCAGCTGTCACTGTTTCAAGAATATTTTCTTCAGTTGTAATTTTAGGATATATCGGTGATCATCTGACCTGTCTGTGTTATGGTTTAATTTATTCATTACCTGGTTAAACACAGTTGTTCTTCTTATTGTCCTAAATCTGGCCTGTCAGGCGTTGGCAGTGTGTCTGTACCCTCAGCTGCTGAAAGACAACAATCTTCCTCTGGATGTCAGGCAGAGGGCTCAGAGGCTCCTGGAGGTCTGTGATGGAGGAAGTGTGGGTGAGGACTGGAAAAAAAGGTCTTTTTTGTACAATGTGTCTTACTCGTAAACCCTGACAGACATTTAAAGGCATTTAAAATCACAAAATGTACCATGATCAATCTACAGGTTCCTATACAGACTCCTCTGGCATGCCTCACATCAAACAAAGCATCGCTGAGTTCATCATGAGACGAGACGGTGGAGTGCCTTCACGCGCCAAAGACGTCTTCATTTCTGCTGGTTCCCAAAGGGCCCTGACGGTATAAAGACAGTGTCATTATTACTGTATCGTCTTCTATAGTAGAAAACATACTGTTGTACTGTGTTCAATCTCATACTGTTGCAACCCTAGTAGTAATGCACTTTAATGTGTACAAAATGTTATTGTTTTATTTTTTTTCCTTGCAATTTCAACATATCATGTCATCATAAATAATTATTTTCATACACCTTAAAAAAAAGTAAGTAAGTTAAAAGCCCAGAATATGACATCATGGAACAATTAAGCAGTTGTTGAATCAATATACAGTAAGTTTTGTATATTGATCTGCTAAGGTGGTTGTGAAGCTGCTGGCCAGTGGCGAGGGGGAGACTCCGACAGGCGTGCTGACCCCAACGCCCTGCCCACACACCCTGCCCATGCTGCTGGACGAGGCCGGGGTGACGGCGGTGCTGTACCAGCTGATGGAGGACAGAGGCTGGGCTTTAGACCTCGACGAGCTGCACCGAGCTATGAAGACCGCCAGGGGGCGCTGCAAGCCCAGAGCCATTTACATCAGCAACCCAGGAAACCCCACAGGTAAACCACATACAGTAGCTACATTAAAGCCACCTGTTTAAACTTCCTTACGTGTATCATCATCACTCTTTGTCTGCTGCTGTTTGTCCTCCCAGGTCATGTGCAGGACAGGAAGTCGATACAGGAAGTGATTCAGTTTGCAGCAGCTGAGAGGCTCTTACTGTTGGTTGATGAGGTGATCACAAACCGCACCTTCAGACTGGGATTTCATTCAGTAACTGTCTTTTATTACCTATACATTCCTTTCCTCTGCACTCCAGGTGTACCAGGACAGCGTGTATGGACGGGGCAGAGAGTTTATGTCCTATAAGAAAGTCCTGTTTGAGATGGACAAAGAGTACTCAGAGACAGTGGAGTTGATCTCCTTCCACTCTCTATCCAGCGCCTGCACGGGAGAGTGAGTTCTGTCTCTTAAACTCATCAGCAGATGTTAATCTCTTTCATTTTGTTGTTGTGTGTTTGCTGACAGGATCATACAACAGGTAGCTTCAACCATTCATACACAGTGCATGCTACAGGGATCACAGTGATTCCTGTAAAACCCAATGCTGGTATTATTCTGTATTTTGCTTGCTTAAAATAGTACCATATAGTCCATCTCTCAATATAACTTCTCAATCCTGGCTGTGACTCTCAGCGTCAAGCCCAACTGGTTCCAAATGAAGACGTAAAGCTTTAAAAAGCAGTCACAAATGTGTAGTTTAAATTCTCAGTAATTTCTATACAATAGCAATTAAACTCAGACTTACATGGCAAGCAGTATACACACAGTACCCATGACCAGTGTTGTACTAATATATAATACATATTATATGTATAACTCACCACTCTGTAGCACCATGGGTGACCCTTGAATGCCAAATCTCTTCCATAAGAGTCAGCGACAACCATGAAAACAATGGAGCTGACTGTGTACTGAATAAACAGGTAACCAAATTCTGTACCTTCTGTGTCCCAGGTGTGGTCTGAGGGCAGGATACATGGAGGTGGTCAACATGGACCCAGAGGTGATGCATTTTGTCGACACTATGCTGTGCAGCGATATCAGTGCTCCAGTCACAGGACAACTTGCTCTGGATATCATGGTCAACCCACCGAAACCTGGAGACCCCTCCTACGGCACGTACACACAGGTGACACATCTGCAGAACATTACTTCATTACATTATTAAAGAGTCCTGCTTCAAGATGCCCTACTGTCTCCTCTGTTGTTCTCTTTTACGAAGGAGATTCTCCTCACGCGGGCCACTTTGTCCCAGAATGCTCAGCGGGCTCAGGAGTTCCTGAGCAATCTACCAGGGATGAGCTGTCAGCCGGTGATGGCGGGAATCTACCTGTATCCCCGCCTGCATTTACCGTCTGAGATTATAGAGCAGGCCAAGGTGGGAAGATATATCAAAAACTTTCATGTGCGTGTAAGAAAGTGTGGCAGCAGCTGGTATTTAGACTGCAGAGTTTTTGCATGTTTTAAAGAAATTTAGCCAAAACTATATATAATTTCTATTGGTACAGTTTTTTAAAGTTATGTAGTCATGTCGTGTCAGTAAGGTGGTGTCTTTTGGTTGCAGTTCTTCTTTTGCATATTTTGCATATACAGTGTAACAAGCCATTAGACAACTTTCAATACCAAAAACAGACATTTTTATTTGCATTTAATTGTCCAAATCAGTGGCCAAAAGTGACCAAAAATGTTCGTCACAGTGAGTTCGATCATGATTTTTCACATATTCTAGCGCAGTTCTAAAAACTGCTTTTATAACAGGTTCCTTTACCAGTTATTTATTAAAAAGTACAACCATAAAATGCATCCTACTTATACATTATTGTAGCTGAACTTCTGCCAAAATACAAAAACTTCATGTGGAAATGTGGCTTACATTTCCAGTACAACAATATCCAGTGTCTGAAAATACCCTCAGACTCCAGGAGGTTATGTTATGTTTTGTTTTTTTCTTAACGTAATTCATCTTAGCATTCATTCTGTTACATGAGTAATGAGACTGATGTCTCTGTCTCTAGATATTGGAGGTGGAGGCAGATGTTCTGTACTGTCAGAGGTTATTGGAGGAAGAAGGAGTGTTTGTAGGAGCAGGATGTCAGTATGGTGAAACAACTGGCAAACACCATCTGAGGTGAGAGAGCTGAAGTTTGATAAATTAGCCAAGTTTGTTTTATTTTCTTTGAAAAATCGACTGTGATTTCTCTCTTTTAGGTTATGTATCCTTGTTCCTCCCGACGCCCTGGAGGAGGTCCTGGCTCGCCTCAGTTCCTTTCACCTACGTCTTATGGATACACTTCCTCACCCTGACAGAGCTGTGAGGGACAGAGACATATCAGACGTATTGTGACCCAATACGTAGCCCTCTGTGATTAAAGTGGCAAGCATTTCTAAAGGCTCATGGTTTTTTGCTCAAAGGAACACAACAAAGATAAGAATCCACACCCTCAAATTTGTGCAAAAATCCTTTGCTTTTCTTTCTTCTTCTCTTTACACATATAATAAAAATATTCTTGTTTTACAGACAGATTCGTATATAGCCTACATCAACCAAAACAGAGGAATAACAAAAAAAGAAAGAAAGAATGTCCTCATTAATGTATACCATGCTGCTAGTGTGGTTTAAAACACTGATTCATTAGCATCTTCACAGTTTCAGCCAATAGATCCTTTTTTCTGCCAATAGATCCTCCTAAGTGATACACACTGGACCTTTAAATGTATAATCTATTGTCCTTGTTGCACATTTATTACCCTGTAAAACACTGAATTGCCCTAGTGTGATGAAATGTGCTGTACAAATAAAGTTGCCTTGCTATGGGGCATTGGCAGGCCTTTTTTAAGGTGTCTGTGTTGAGCTTCTCGTTGAGACCTGTCTGACAGTGGAGATGAGTTCTGTGAAGGAGGTGAACCCCAGGGTCCGGGGGATCAGAGCCACAGTAAGCCTACAGAGTCTGGCTGCACGCCTCACAGAGGAGATCACGCAGGTGAGTCGCAGCAGGTGTTAATACACCTGTAATCTGAGCAATATATGCTGCTGCAGCCGATTCAGACGACTGCATTAAAACATTTTATCATTCAGAACAAAGGTTCTCAAGCGGAGGCTTGGAGGATTTCAGAGCTGTGGTGGGAGACATATATTCAGATCCTTTACTTTAGTAAAAGTATCAATACTACAATTTAAAACACCACAATATAAGCACTATACAGCCTTCCATATTTAACAGCAAAATCTAGTTTTAATGGTAAAAATACTCCTGAAGAATGGAGTCTGTCAGTGTTATAATGCCGGTTGGAAGGGTTACTTTAAAGATAAATATAAGAAGTTATAAATATAAAATATCTATAGAATACCCACTATAAAGAATATAATAGAATACAATAAAATATAATAAAATAAAAAAAACAGGATAAAGTAGACAAGTGTGCAAAGAAGGAGTATGAAACTATGCAGAAGTTGTTAATGGAGCAGAGGAGTTGGTGGAGACAGAAAATATAAAGCTGAGAGTTGTCTTTCAGACAGAAGTAAGGCGTTGTAGAGAGTTACTGCTTTGGGTTGGAAAGATTTCCTCTGTGTGTCCTTGTAATAATGAAGCTGTTAGAGAAAGTACTCCTCTGTTTGTTAGTAGGCTGTGTAACTACTTTATACGGCCGTACAGTTTAATCTGTAACAGTGCATTTTATAGACTGATCACAGGTTTTGTAATTAAAGTAACTTGTAATCAGTGTTGGGCTAGTTACTCAAAAAACGTATTACTCATTACTCTTTGCCTTTTTAAAAAGTAATAGTATTACTTCTGCCAACACTAAAAGTTATTTTACTTTTCATTATGTCCCTTCTCCCCAATATTCAGACCTTACATGTTTGCCTCTGTGTGTCAGTTTAATCAGTAACTATCAGGTTTTTTTTCTGCAGCCTCTGAATCCATACAAAAGTTAAAGGCTAGATGAAAAGCACACCTGGCTCAAACTCAGGGGTGATTCCCGACTTTTTTGACTCAGGTGGCACAACAGGGGCATTGGCTTATGCAGCGGTGACATGAAGTATTTGTCTTTCCAGTCATTCCCAGTTTATGCAATTCCAATATTGTTTAGGGGCCCCAGTATGCAGAAATATTCAAATATACAAGGCGAGAAAAACACATAAAATGAGAAAAGTTCCAGATGTCCGATGACTAAAATGCTTCAGTGGGTTAAAATAACATCCAAGAAGAAAAGAAAGAGAAGTCAATTTATTACAGCTTCTGACAGAAAACCAGGCTGTGGCTCAGGAAGTCGAGCGGGTCTTCCACTATTCAGAAGGTTGGCAGCTCGAAATGTTACATATTATAGCTTTATGGTGAAATAAAAGAGGGAAATTGGATGTTAGGCAGGTTAAGAGATTAAACTCGACTGTCTGGGTTGAAAAATACAACCAACCCGAGCTTGTGTCAAACCCACATTGTGTTCTTCTCAGGGAGCCAAGAAACCCTTCAAGAAGGTGACTGATGTCAGTTCAGGTGATTCCCACAGGGCGGGAATGTCTCCCATCTCATTTGTTCGCCAGGTTGGTGTTTTTATATTTTATCTGTGTGTCTATCTGCTGTCCTTGTTTTCATGCCCTCTTGTGATCAGTCTGACAGCTACAAACTGGGCCTTTCTGTGCCTGTCATCCCTCTGTTTGTTTCCTCAGGTTTTGGCAGTGTGTTTGTACCCTCAGCTCCTCAAAGAAAAAAGCCTTCCTCTGGATGTCAGGCAGAGGGCACAGAAGCTTCTGGGGGCCTGTGGTGGAGGCAGCGTGGGTGAGAATGAATAATATTAATTCATTTGTATAGACAAACTAATAGTAGTTCACAGAAGTTCTTTGACTGCTCTAATGGCTTTCCTCTAATGGCAGGTTCGTACTCTAAAACCTCCTGCGGTATACCACATGTCCACGAAAGTGTTGCTGAGTTCATCACGAGGCGAGATGGTGGAGTGAGCTCACACCCGGAAAACATCATCTTCTCTAGTGGTTCTCAGAAGACTTTGTCCGTAAGATGAGTTTATTTTGGAGCATTATTTGTAGATTTATAGCTCTAAGGTAATTATTTAAGGCTATAATACATGGTCTTATTAATAAATAAGCAGTTAATATAACATCCTTAATAATCAACTAATTAAAAATCAGCCAGGATAAAGAAGTTGAACACTCTTGCAAAACACTTTAATGTGTAATAAAAGCATGTTGTTAATGGTATTGTTATTAATTGTGTTAAGCTGGTTTTGCACCTGATGGCGAGTGGCGAGGGGAAGACTCAGACAGGCGTATTGACCCCGGTGCCCTGCCCGCACACCCTGCCCATGCTGCTGGATGAGACCGGGGTGGCGCTGGTGCCGTACCAACTGATGGAGGGCCGAGGCTGGGGTTTAGACCTGGACGAACTGCACCGAGCTTTAAAGACTGCCCGGGGGCGCTGCGAACCCAGAGCCATTTACATCAGCAACCCAGGAAACCCCACAGGTAAAGTACAGCTACATGGATTTATCTCCCTACTATAATCTTTGGTACTCACTATTATTTGTCCTGCAAGGTCATGTGCAAGACAGGACAACCATGGAGGAAGTAATTCGTTTTGCTGCAACCGAAGGCCTCGTCCTGTTGGCTGAAGAGGTGATTACAGAAGGAAACTGGCATCTAAGAGACGTATGTTTTCATCAGTTTTTAGTCACACTTTTTTCATGTCTCCTTCCATCTTCTAGGTGTACCAGGACAGCGTGTTCGGACAGGGCAGAGAGTTTATATCCTATAAGAAAGTCCTGTTTGAGATGGGAAATAAGTACTCAGAGACAGTGGAGCTGATCTCTTTCAACTCGATATCCAGCGCCTGCATGGGAGAGTAAGTATCACATACCTTTCGTTAGCCAAATGTGTGACCCCCAACACTCGTTGCTCTTTGATTTGACCACGTAGCCTACTCCTTCCCCTTCGAAAGACGATATTTTTTTGTACATTAACATACAGTAAAAAAATACTGTTGTGAGATGACTGACAATAAAAACAGACATTCAAGGTTTCCATGCATCCTGCAAACGGGGGAATACAAACAGGGTGTGTCACTTGGCGTGGACCTTTTCAGACGTTTTACATGCACAAACAATCTATATAATACACTAAAGCACAAGGAAAAAAAACCCAAACCCTCTAACATAGCCTTTAAACGTTATGGACAGATTGTAATCTGGGTTGTTTAATAAGAAATGAGAATGAGACCTATTTAACCAAAACACAACCTTTCCTTATTTTTAATTAACTGAGCCCGGTGTCAAAGTCCTGGCTTCGTATGCCCAACATCCACCTCACCTATCTCCCTTCATTGCCAAATAAACAAAGAGCTATAAAAAGAATAAAGTGAGGTGAAATATTCCCTTCAGGTTCAGTCTGAACGCACCTTCAGCCTAATAAAAGACAAACTGTACCTCATTGTACTGCCCCTGTGTGTAGGTGTGGTCTGAGAGGAGGTTATATGGAGGTAATTAACATGGACCCAGCAGTCAATAATTATTTGAGAAGTATGCAGGGATCCTCCAGCCCTCCAGTTTTACCTCAGCTCGCTCTGGAGGTCATGGTCAATCCACCCTCACCTGGAGATCCGTCCTATGAAACATACACACAGGTAAATCACCACTTTAATAACTATGTATATTTTTACTATATAAGTGCCCTAATCTCGTTTGTCTGTTATTAATTAGTAGACAGATTTGTTTTTCTTTTTGATTCCGGAAAGTTTTTCATTACTTTACGATACAAGGACAGAGCACCTTAATGGACCTCAATATAAAGAAGTGTAAACATGCCTGAGTTAGCAAGAATGCTAATTTATCAGAAGTCCTTAATTAAACTAATTAAGACAACAGCCGGAGGGGTATATGTCGGCCCATTAAACAAAAATATTTTGCATTTTCATGATCACATCCTGAAATTTACTCATGATGGACATCAGGTTGTGAAACAGTTTATGTGAAGCATTTTACAAGCTCAAAATTTTTTTAAAACTTGAAAACGGGTCCGGTGAGAGCAGTGAGATTACACCAAAACATTAAAGCTGTGGGGCTCCGTTCCCACTACACACAGTCATTTTTAAGTATAAAAATATTCGTATAATAATATATACATAATATATTAGTGCCGCTTTAAGTTACTGCTTTGACAGTTGGTGACCGGCGTTTGTCCTGTTTTCTCAATCGAAGGAGATTCGGCGCACTCTGACAACTCTTTCCCAGAATGCTCAGCGTGCTTGTGAGTTCCTGAATGATCTACCAGGGATGAACTGCCAGCCAGCGATGGCGGGAGTATTTCTTTATCCCAGTCTGCATTTACCACCTCAGATGATAGAGGAGGCCAAGGTACAGAAACCAGCTCCACTCACTGGACCTTCAGTCCTCAGGTTTTACTACAGTTTATGGACTTTTTGTTTCCCCCTCTGGCAGTGGGGGTAATTACACAAACACAAAACACAAGTGCAGTCCATCACAGTGTATTATACAGTCAGTGCTCAATACAAAACACACAGTTCAGCTTTATTAAAACCGCTAAAAACACTTAATAAAGCAGTTCCACCTTAAAAATCACTGCTTCTCCCACGCTGTTGGACAGACAAAGGACGTCCCGGAGGGGCTGCGAGCCGAGCTGCTGCTAACGTTAGCTCAGCTTGTTTCTC